AAGCGAAAATGAGAGAGCAAATCATCTTTTCAGAACTTATAGAGGGGATGTTTGCGTTGAACAGGTTGATGAGTCTTTCGTATGAGGTCCCCAAGGAAAGACGAGATATGTCTTATCTGTTACCTCAATGATTAGGCTGCGTTCATACTTTGCGGCAGTGTCCACTGCCGTTACAAGCGTCCAGTTCCGAGCGTCCAGCAGCGTTAGCGACTGGGAAACTATAGATATTGATTTAGTGTTCACCAGCGTGCACCAGCGTCTCCCAGCGTCTACGAGAGTCTCGAGGGCCAGGCAAGCACAGGTACTGATCTAGTGTCTACCAGCGTGTGCCAGCGAGCAAGCGTCTACCAGCTCCCGGGAGAGGATAGTATGGCGCGGAAGGAGGGTGTCAGATAGCTTATAGGGAGATAAGAAAGCAGCACGCTGCTGGTAGAGAGTATGACGCTATGACAGGGTACCAGCTATCAGCTACCCTCCGAACGCACTATACTCTCCTCTCCCGGATGCTGGTGCACGCTGGCAGACCGATCGATGCCTATACTTCCCTAGGCCCTTAGAAACGCTGGTGGACGCTGAGAGTCTATGGTGCACGCTGGTAGACGCTAGATCGATATATTTTCTCACTCAGTGACGCTGCCAGACACTCGAAACGCTAGTGGACGATGCCGCAAAGGATGAACGCAGCCATAGCTTGAGATGCGCAACTGAATAAACTGAATACTCGACTCAGGCGAACTCTCGTGCTAGACTCGAATCGCGCAAATACTCTTCAGAGTAAGGAGTCAAAGTGTTGCCTTACCAGAACAAAGCTTGAATTTATGGACAAATTCAGAGGATAACCCAGAAAAGAATGTTACCGTAGTAGTTTCCTCCCATGATTACGACACGCTTGAAGGTGAACGAAGGATCGATCTTGAGCGCAAGTGCTACATTCGTGAGCGGTCCCAAACAGACCAGAGTGGCCGTAGGATGTTCCTTGGCAAGGCGAATAAGGGCTAGTGTAGCCACTTCTTCTGATGTAGGCTTGAAATCCTGTTCTAGCACCTGAAAACAACATTTTCGCTCTACCGTATAAGCAAATGAATTGAAAACCCTGATAGTAAGCATACAACTTGCAAGCACATTACTTCAAGGTGTTAAGCACAACACTTCAAGTGGTGCCTCTTGCCCTCTTGCCTTTCCTGATCACACTTGGCGTAAGTTTCTGCCCAAATCTCGCAATATCCGCCAAGTGGGATCATACTCGGATCATACTACTATCACATACACTCCTAATCCCTATGCCAGGGTAGGCGTGTCATTTGAGCATCGCACGAAATAAGTTTGACTCCGTTGAACATTTCGTGTGGACAACTGTCATCTTGTTCCGTGTTGGACAGAGACACGACAACAATTCGAGTCAAGATGAAAATATCCCACCAGAAGATTCAGGTGAAGTTGAAACATGCACGCCTACCCGATCTCAGGGATTTCGAGTATATAGTGGCTAGTGGGGCTCAAATAGCTGTGGTAGAGTGGCCAACGATGGGGGTTAACAGAAAACAATGGTAGCAAAATTCCCTGATAAGACTCTCCAGCAAGGGCTTGGATACGAGCAGATGGCTAGCATGTGACCGGACCAGATCACCGGGCAAGTGATCTTGTGGTTGACATTGTCCCGCAATCGATCACAGCTGATTTTTCACAATAATGTCCCGGCCTACGTTCTTTGGCACGTCTTTCATTATTACGGCTGAGAAGAGGAGGGGAGGGTGGGGAAAATGAATGTGTGTGGGCCAATGAGAGAAACGACGGCATCACCGACCTCCTAGCTCGCTTTTGCGCGACGAAAATGGTGCAGACGCCGCCTCTGTGGGCCAGACTACCTGCTCACGGAGGAAAAGAGAATCCCTACAGACTGCGGGCACAGCCTTTACTTAGATATCTGCCCTCTGGGGTAACTTGATGATTTGGCCTCCCATTGTTTCATGCGATCAGGTAGTTTAGGACTTTTTTTCTCATAAGAAGCATTGACTGAAAGGTCGGCGATCTCCTCCTATTCAAACTACTTCTGTTCAAATGGTACTACGGTTTCGAAGAGGAATAGGATGCATTGCGCTTCTCATCGATCGAATGCTCGTCATCCCTTGGAACAGAGAAGAGAAAAAATGCTCACCTCTGGAAAAGCTTTCGGATCATCGCCAATACCATCTTTGCCAAAGAAAATGCTTTCGCTATACGGCGGTTTCTCGCCAACTATCGGCTCTTGCGATCCTTTATATACCGGAATGAGTATCTGAAATTCAGAGCTTAGGAAACCCCTTCCATGGAAATACTTTCGCTTCAGCAGAAACGAGCGCCTTCCTTCAATCGGTTACAGTCATTTTATCACAAATCTCAGAGGAGAGATAATCACTCCAAACTTGACTCAAAGGAAACACGGTATTCCCACACTTCCCTCACGCTGACCTCAAGGTCCAGGTAACCCGTTCAGGGCAGTCCTTCGAGAACGAGACCTATCGATAATGAGGTATTTTTGGGCACTCGCAACAAATCGAGAAGTTCTCAGTGCCAGTTTGCATACTATGGCTGAAACCAATTCCGCTTTTCGTTGAATGGCTCTCATGGATGAAATGCATTCTTTACGCTATGGATGCAGGGGCATGTCACGAGGGATGGGCTTGGCACGGCACCAAACCCGTTTTCCTCCTGTTGTAGCGAGTAAGCGATCGCATAGGTCTTTTCACAGCAAATGTTGTCGCTTACCCGCTTCAGTAAATGACGGAGAACAGTTTGGGGCCGGGCCACACCCATATCTCCTGACACGCGGCCTTCCAGTAGCAACCAAGACTGTAGACAAGCATTACCGTCTATAACAGGCATAGGGTCAAGCCAACCCTAAACGCGGACCTGGCCGCCGCGGACTGGTATCTCCTGTTTATAAAAAGAAATTCTCTTTCTAAGTTTAACGTAAAAAATCACGAGCGCATTTGCCTGCTCGTTGACATCTTCTCACATTGGCTATGGCTTGCGCTACTGAAACGCATCCATGTACTGTGGTGAAGGCGAGAACCTGTTGAAAGTAAATACAACTACTGAATGAAGGAAATTGCATGAAACACGATCTGGCTCCACACCGCATCTTATCCTTGCCCTGTAGAGGGGGTTTCTCTAACTATAAATGATTTCAATCTGTTTACGAGGTGCGGTAAGCGCGGGTGCGTATTTCCAACTAAAATCGCGGCGCGTGACTGTGTTTCGGAGACATTGTGAACCGAAAGCACAGTCATCGCTAGTTTACTTGGAATGAGACAACTGCACTGATCTCTTCGTCCAGCACAGAAGAAATGACAGTTGTCTCAAGCCGAAGTACCCCACAAAAACCCATTCTATGTCATGTCCAAATGCACGCTCGTACCTCACCTCCTTCTCAGGAGTAAGTAGTGCCACTGTAACATTAGTGGCCTCTGTGTTTGAGAACCTGGCAAGCAGTTATCGCTCGGCACCTAGTACTTTCTATCTAGGCAGTGCAGGGGGCAGAGTGGCTAGCACACTACGCAGATTAAGTCAAGTCGCGGGTCGCCAACCCAGCTTTCTGCCTTCGAAGGTTCACTTCAACCTAGCAAGAGGTTGAAAATACCCTGCACCGCCAAGCTTTTCCTCAATGGTTTCAATATAAGACACTAAACTCAGTTCTCTTTCTACTTAATAGTTACGTGATTCACTTAGACTGTGCACCACCTTTCTCCTCAGTCCACGAAGTAGTTTACTTTCATTTGGTGTAGTAGGTTAACAGTCTTCTTCCTACTATCTCGGACCTGGTTTCCAACATCAGTTCTCTACTACACTTGATAAATTATATTAAAACAGCCTCCGCCGTTCATTTGATGTTCCCACGTCCTCCTTCGATATCGTAGCTTTGTCGACAAAAGTGGAGGATGTCTGATTTCGTAGCTCAAAAATACGAGAGTGTGGCGCCACCCGCTTGTGAAGGGGATACCGCCCGCCCACCTGGCTGCCATAACTGCTTTGGCTTAGCCTTTAAAGAAAAGAGCAGGAAGAAGTCATTAGTACATACTGCATTCTCATAGGGTGGCTGTGATATCCAGAGTGGGCACGGGAACATCAAAAGAACGTGGGCGCTGCCTTTAAGTGAACCATTGTGTAGGTAAAGTTAGGTTCGGCAAGAGATCGTCACAGCTGCTTTTGAAAGTCTGGGCCTGAGCCTGCCATCACAAATGAGCTCTCTTTTTGGAACCAGCGCACAGCCATCGGGTGGTAGGAAGGACTGCTGTTCTAGGACGACATTCCAGAATGTTCCTTTCGGTATAAGATCCTCCCCCTCCCTTCCATCCAAACCTGTCACCATTTTCCTAATTTGTTGCACCTTCCTAACACTCTCCCAGCTTTCCGGAAAACGTTCCAGCTTCTTTCTAAAACTTTGCCGAGTCAAGGAACGATAACCAAACTTCTCTACAAAAATTCTCTTACCTCTACGTCTGGATGTTGTAAAGCTAGGGAAATAGCTCTGATATCGTCTGATACGCCATCGGTATCTAAAACGAAAAAGATAAATAAGCAGGAAATACTGCTATTGACAGCTTATCATCGAAAAGAGAAAAGCAGCAAAGTGATAATCGCAGTCAAATCACTAAAAGACGTCATCAACTTAGGAACTGACCGATTTAGAAGCTTGCACCTATTCGTTCGCATAACTCTGAGAAAGATTCTGAGAGTGAGAAGAATTCTGAGAAAGGCGAGTTCCAGACATGTGACCCTAGAAAAACTGCTGAGAGTCCGAGTGATAAGATAGCGAACCAGTTTGAAACTGCTGGACAAAAAGGCTTGCGCCGAGTGTTTGTGTAAGTGTTTGCAGTCATTATCGTGCAGGATTGATGCCACGGGGCGTGAGAGCTTCTAGGCTACCCATCAGGATTCTGCCATACTACACTAAACTGCGGTGACAGCCGAGGGTTACAGGAAAGGATCAAGTGTTGAAAGTGACTTCACAGAATGCATTGAGGGGACTAATTCCATTCAAACTGGTTTATTTTCGTATCTACACACTAAAATGAAAGGGGACAGAGCGCACAAAGATTTTGTGAAGAAAATGTTCCTCGAATTATGTTAAAAACATGGAGGCGTGCCGAAATGTGATGTGAACATCCCAGCTACTTTAGAGGATTCCACAAGTTTTTTGGCAATTTCTCTTGGAATAATTCGTTACTTAAAGGCAAACCGCGCGTCATCACAGATAGTGGATCAGCTGTTTGCATATAGACGACAAGGTGCTGATTATTTCGATAGTGGGGAAAAAAATAGAAAAAAACATGCCAACTGCCCCTGCCCTAAATAGGACCCCATGTCAATCCCAGTATGTACCTGCCCAGTTATCTCCATCTCCAACACTACGCCCTCATCCGCACAGCTGATTCCCCGATAAGAACTCTACGACCGTACAAGTGACGATTTTCATGCTTTTTCGTCCTGCAGCTTCGTTTTTCACTGAAAGGCGGAGTAACTGGAAAAAGGAGGCGCCACTGAATCTACAGGGGGGCCAAAAAAAAGTCATTTTGCCTCCATGACTTTCAAGGCGCTATAAGTTACACTTTATTAAATTTTTATCGGACATTTTTACTACCATATTAAAGAGCACATTAAATACTATAATGATACTCCGCCACAGCCTTCTGGAGGAGCGCCATCGAGAGATTCGGCCGCGCGAAAGTGAGTGGGTACCGGAGTTGAGCGAGATCGTTGATTTCTCCGCCACTGTAGACCACCCTGTTGAGCTCCGCCCGAACCGAGTAATTGAGGGGGTTTAGTTCAGGACCCCCGCTTAAATACTCCATCTTTTCCAGGTACTCAACGTTCATTCCAAGTAGGCGAAAGTTTTTCCAACGCCCTTCGATTAAATGTGTTGTCACCCAATCCTGTAGCAGTACAAAGTTTCCAAGAAGGTACGGGATATTCTCCTCGAGTTGCTCGATGTAGCCACCAGCGCACACCCTCAGTCCTGGGACCCCACGAAGAAAATAATGCGGTTCATCCCATTCCAGATACGGCGTCACAATCATCTCAACCCGCGCCTTGGTGAATGGGGTGAAGATGATGTCCTGGACCGTAGCGACGTTGCCGGAGCTGCTCGATGTTTGAGGTCTTGCAGATCAAGAGTACTGGTCTCCAGGTAGCTATCCATGGGTGATTCCATTCAAGAAGTTCCGCAGCTGTTTGGAGGCCACGTGAATTCCAAAGGCGTTCTCCACTCAGGCCGCGACTGGAGATGACTTCATATTTTGGTGTACATGAAGGTGAATGGCGGCAGCCGGCTCCTGCTTATAGAGGAAGATCTTGGGTATCTTCCGCCCTGGTACTCATATCCACTTCCTCTGTCTGGGCTGCGAAAACTTCGCTCATATGTGACTCGGCCGGAATGACTTTTTTTGCCCCCCCCCCTGTATATTGCGCTATAGCGCCCCTCCCTGACAAAACCGGTATGAGGTTGCTAGTCGCGGACCACACTATCCTCTCAACGCATATTTTAATTTCTATACCTGATCGCGGACCGTGCCTCTAACACCTTCTTTGACCTGGACCCGTCTCAGCTACCGTGGGATGGTTACGAGCCTCACTCGAAGGAGAAATTGATTCATAGGTGCCTATTTATGCTTCATTCAATCTATATATGTATAGTATACATGAGGTCTGTTGTAGGGTAATGCTCGCATGGGTTATACATTGTGACACGGGAATCCTAGGGCAAAGTACTTTAAAGGGTCCCTTCACAAACACTACCAAGAATCCGCTCTTTCTGCACACCACTTTCAGAAGGAGGACCTTTCACCATGATCTGCGAGCCCTATAGACAATTCCATGTTCAAAAAGCAGTTAGTACGTCACCCTACTTAAGCTCCCAGATTCCTCCTTTCACGAGTTCCGCCTCTCAGCTTGTGTGACAATGTTGGGTTAGATTTTTTTCATTCGGTTACAAAGAGTATAAACGAATCGTGTTTGTTTCATCTATGTCTCATCAGGAGGCTAGGTTTGGTGCGGCGCGAGCACGTTTTCCACCATTTGTTGTCGCTTGCCCTCCAACAATTAATGGGGAACAGGCTAGCTCACGCCGGACCTCGCCCACTAATACGCCCCAGTATGCGAAGCGAACGGAACTGTGTTTAAAAAGGAAAGAGGTTTCTTCTAATCAAGCTCGAAATCCCTCCATTGTTCTTCCTCATATGGGTATTTCTCCCGTAGAATTGATTGACACCAGCACAGATCAGATTGGTACAGTTAAAGATCACAGGGTGGAAATTGGAGCTTGTGTAGCTCTTCTACATTAATAAACCCTCTCGAGAGATAAAGAAATCGGCTCAGAGTTTCGTTTATTGGTAATTACAAAAACTGATGGAAAGCGAGAGAGTATGGGTGAAAATACGAAAAAGGTGACACAACGTTTCCATTTTGCGCAACAGATGGCCAAAAATGTGACATCAGAAACTATTGTGAGGCACCTGTTTCAGAAGGTTGTAACCAGTCCATTTGAAGAACTATTTTGCTTTCGCGGTTTTTTGAGCGCAGAGCTCATCCTCAGTCAATGATCTATCAAACCTAGCGCACTCCCTAATTTCAGATCGGAA